TTTGTGAATCAATTTTCCCCATGAGAAATAATGTAAATACAATTAATCCGTTCCTGACACCCAGAAGTATTAAAACAAAAAATTTTTTTACATGAAATATACATGTAGTACATAAACAATACAATGGGAAATGATGAATGAAACATTAACAGCATAACACTTACCTTTATTGGAGATTCTTCTTAGTGTATGGGAGACTGGAGGAGGAGAGAGATTGGATTGTTTACAGTTTGGAAGGGGAATCCCCTTCCAGCAACACCTCAGGTACCAATTGCTTTTCTGGGGTTGCTTCTCTTCTCTGTTTCTTAATGCCACTAGGACCACCTTGAGAGTCACTGGAGTCCTGGCTCGCAAAATAACTGTGGAGAGAGCTCTGTTTCTGGCGTCTCTTTAACACTTCCCTAAAATGGCCCAAGACTTAGTCACTGTACATGTTGCCAATATGGCTTGCACCAACCTTGTCAGGGTGATGTTTCTCCATAAAGCTTTCCATCTTACCCCACATAGCAAAAATCTCTTTAATTTCTGAAGAAGGCACCTTCTTCCATCTCTCTTCCTCCTCTGCAACAAGATTCTGAGCTGCGATCTGTTGCTGTTCCTGCTGAAGCTCTTGCAGCTCCTCGGTGGTGAGCTCTTCGTTGTGGTCTTCCACCAACTCTTCCACATCGTCCAAACTCACATCCAACCCCATGGAACTCCCCAGTGCCACAATTGATTTAACAACAGACATAGGCTCATCAGGGTCAGTCCCAAACCCTTCGAAATCCCTGTTGTCGGCACAATCTGGCCACAATTTTCTCCAAGCAGAGTTCAAAGTCCTGGTAGTCACTCCCTCCCAAGCCATACCTATAAGGGATGCTATAAGGAGGATGCTGAAGTGTTCTCTCCAAAATTCCCTTAGGGTCAAGTGAGTGTCTGTGGTCACAGTCAAGCACAGTTCAATGATGTTTTTCTTAAATTCAATCGTATTTCTCACCTTCTTTACCACAGGCTTGGCACTTGGAGCTTTCTTTGGAGCCATGGTAGCTTATTCAGTACTTGCAAGCACTAAAATGAGTGGAATATTATGAAATATTTTGTAGGAGCATGTGAGGGGACCTTCACTCACTGATAAACAATGCTAGACTGGCTTAGTAGGGAGGCCGCCCGGCTCACACCGTGTGTACGCATCCCGGATGAACTACTATTCGCAAGTCGACCTATGATTAGCGAGCCCATGTTCATACGAAAATATCCCTATGATTTCCGAAATCTATGATTCCCGAGAACTATGAAAAGCGAGGGACCACTGTACTGCTACCTACACTGACTTCCTACAAATAAATACTACGCGCCTCTTGCCCTACATTAAGACTACAAATATTTTAAGGTTAGTAATGAATGTACTGTAGCAGTAAATGACAGATTAAAGAGGTGTGTGCAATGTGGACTACGGTGCAAGCTTTTGTAGAGAAACACCACCCTGACCAAGTTGAAACAAGTCATATCTGCAACATGTTCAGCGACAAAGCCCTGTCCCACTTCAGGGAAATCTTAGATGCCAGAAACAGACCTCTATGGACAGATTTGTTGTGAGACAGGGGTCCAGTGACTCAAACTGGTCCTAGTAGCATTAAAAGACAAAGAAGGGAAGTAACCCCAGAGAAGGCTTTGCTACCTGAAGTCTTTATGGAGATGGATTCCCCTTCCAAACACTAACTCCTCCCTCTTTCCTCTTCCCTATCTTCCAGAACCCAGCATTAGCCTTCAATAAAGGTATGTAAAACTTACATAATTGTTAAAAAAATAATTTGTTTTGTGAATATTTTTGTCTGGAACGGATTAATTGTACTTCCATTAATTCTTAGGGGAAATATTAATTCGGTTTTCGGCCATTTCGGTTATCAGCCGACCTTCTGGAACAGATTACAGCCGATAACCGAGAGTCCACTGTATATATTTTATTTTATTCACATTTTCTTAAAAATATTACCTAGCACCACATGCTCTATTCCTTTTTATTGTAGATAATGTTACTATATTACATATGAGGTATCATGAAGAATAAGGATATGTGAGAGTTATTACAAAAAACTTAAAACTATTTAATTTTTTTAATATAGCTCAAGAGCATTTTTGGTTTTTATAACCAAGTTTTAACCCTCTGAGGGTCCGACCCATAGTTCTATGGCTTTGAAGCCAGGGGTCCGAGCCATAGTACTACATCATGAGCTCAGCTCACTCAAATAAGCTGTGAGCGGTAAATTTGGGCCAAGATATGAGAGAATGTATCCATGTGGTAAGTGTGCACCATATAAAAAATCCTGCAGCATGCAGTGCATAATGAGAAAAAACTGCAACTGTGTTTCTGGATTAAAGCAACAAATTTGCGATGTATTTTCGTATAGCTTTTACAATTGCATTCACGGTTTCTTAGTCTCATTTGATGTACTCAGTAAACTTATTCCCCTATAATTTTTACAATCTCTTTTGTCCCCCTTCCCTTTATATAAAGGAACTATACATGCTTTCTGCCAATCCCTGGGTATCTTCCCCTCTATCATACATTTATTAAAGTAAAATACCAACCACTCCAACACTATCTCCCCCTGCTTAAAACATTTCTGTCATGACCCCATCAGTTCCAGCTGTTTTATCCCCTTTCATTCTATGTAATGCATCATGCACCTCCCTCACACTCACATCCTGGTCTTCTTCACTCCTAAAAGAAGTTATACCTCCCTGGCCAGTGCATGAAATTACCACCTCCCTTTCTTCATCAACATTTAAAAGTTCCTCAAAATATTCCTGCCATCTACCCAATACCTCCAGCTCCCCAACTACTAACCCCCCTACTCTGTTTTTAACTGACAAATCCATTCGTTCCCTAGGCTTTAACTTTTTTATCTCGCTCCAAAATTTTTTCTTATTTTCATCAACATTTCTTAACAGTGCCTCTCCCACTCTATTATCTGCTCTCCTTTTGCACTCTCTCACCACTCTCTTCACCTTTCTTTTACTGTTCAAATGCTCTGCTCTTCTTATAACACATCTGCTTTGTAAAAACCTCTGATAAGCTACCTTTTTCCCTTTTATCACACCTTTCACTTCATCATTCCACCAATCATTCCTCTTTCCTCTTGTACCAGTGGCCAAGTGGTCGAGGAAGTATCAATAACCTTGATAATAATCCATGCGCAACATTTGTGCAACATCCTTTCAATTTTGATACTACTGGTAGTGTCATCCTGCCAGAATGACCTATAACCTATACTCTAAGTAAAGAGAAACAATTCTGGAATGTGTGATACATGTTTGGCAGGCTGGGTGGCTGGTTGTCTGGGTGGGTGGGTGGTTGGGTGGGTGGGTGGATGGGTGGCTGGCTGGCTGGCTGGGTGGCTGGCTGGCTGGCTGGCTGGCTGGCTGGGTGGCTGACTTTGACTATGCATTTCTACCTGTATCTATCTCTGCCTATCTCTATCCCTGTCCCTGTCCCTATCTCTGTCTGTCTCTGTGTCCGTCTCTGAGTCTGTCCGTCTGTCTCTGTGTCCGTCTCTGAGTCTGTCCGTCTGTCCCTGTGTCCGTCTGTCCCTGTGTCCGTCTGTCCCTGTGTCCGTCTGTCCCGTGTCCGTCTGTCCGTGTGTCCGTCTGTCCCCGTGTCTCTGTCCTGTTTTCCGTCTGTCCCTGTGTCCCTCTGTCCCTGTGTCCGTCTGTCCCTGTGTCCGTCGTCCTGTGCCGTCTGTCCCCGTGTCCGTCTGTCCCTGTGTCGTCGTCCCTGTGTCCGTCTGTCCCTGTGTCCGTCTGTCCCTGTGTCCGTCTGTCCCTGTGTCCGTCTGTCCCTGTGTCCGTCTGTCCCTGTGTCCGTCTGTCCCTGTGTCCGTCTGTCCCTGTGTCCGTCTGCCCCTGTGTCCGTCTGCCCCTGTGTCCGTCTGCCCTGTGTCCGTCTGCCCTGTGTCCGTCTGCCCCTGTGTCCGTCTGCCCTGTGTCCGTCTGCCCTGTGTCCGTCTGCCCCTGTGTCCGTATGCCCCTGTGTCCGTCTGTCCCTGTGTCCGTCTGTCCCTGTGTCCGTCTGTCCCTGTGTCCGTCTGTCCCTGTGTCTCACAGATACACAAACAATTATACAGTGTAAATTGCCTAGGATAATCCAAAAAATCAAAACAAAGTGCTATACTGGGCTTGTAGATATAAGGCATAATAAGCATGACTGGCAAGTAATACTCATTTTCATTTGTTCAGGAATCAGACGTGACAACTCTGCATCTCTGCATCATGTGTAATACCTGTTGGTTCCGAAAGAGAGAGAGACAGGAAGGCAGAGACAGGAAGACAGACACACAGGCGACAGATAATCAGAGATAAAGAGACAGCTAGACAAACAGACATGTTTATATGTAACAGTGAAAACAAACAAACAGTCAAGACAGTGCATGATCATCAAGTGTCACGTGTCCACTGCTGCACTGTCAGCTGTGGAGTGACACTCGTCTTACACGATGCTTCAAGGAGTTTCATATATACTCCATGTCTAGAACATTGCTGGGACCTATAAATACTTTGTATATATTTCTAGACAATAGTAGGTGACCAAGGCAGGTGAAAATGTTCACCTGTCAGTGTGTTTGTGACTATTAAAGTGTTATTTCAGTACCTAATATTAGTGTCAGAACAAAGACTGGCTATGAAATTACAAGTACTACTATAAATTGTAATTATCAGAACATAAAAATTTTATGAATTAAAATAAAAACGAGAAAAAAAAAGGTATATCGGCAACACTTCTGCAAGCGGTAGGGCTCGATGCTGCCATAAGGTGAGCATCCAGCATCAACTTCACGGTCTTATATATCGGTAAGTACTCGTACTATTTTTTTTTTTTTTTTTTTTGGGGAAGGGGGGTTATTACCCAGAAAATTGCCGTCTTGAATAAAAAAAAAAAATTCAAAATATTCAGACCGCTGGGTGAGTGAACGCAGATCTACGTTTGGACAGTTTAAGGGTTAACTGGCAAGTCACAGACTAACCTCTCTGTGAAACAATCAGTAAGTGGCAAAGGTTCCTCTTGCTCGCACAATAATAGCACATGCTCCCGAGGATCTGAAGGTATCAAATTTGCCTGATTTCTGTCGTCCTCATTATTGAATGTAATCTGAAGTCTTGATTTTGACCGATTATGAACCTCTTCCCAAGGATGAACTTCCAAGTTATTTATTCCACAACCTGAAAAATTAATAAGACAAAAGTCATATAAAATTTTTACTTTTTATAACACAATAGCCATTTCCCACCGAGGTAGGGTTATCCAAGAAAAAAAGGAACACAGTCACCATCATTCATTCGATCATTGTCTTGCAAGAATGACCCATCAAACTAACATCGTTACCTCTCCTGGAGATTGCATGAATAATACAGTGGACCCCGCATAATGATCAGCTCCCAATTCGACCAATTATGTAATTGTATTTTTGTAAGTGCTTTTGTAGGTGTATTTTTGGGGGTCTGAAACTGACTAATTAATTCACAATATCTCTTATGGGAACAAATTCGGTCTATAACTGCACCCAAACAGACTTCTGGATTGAAATAATATCGTTATCCGGGGGTCCACTGTACTTCTGACCATCAGATCACTAGTCTGGCAAACTGGTTTCTCTGAATACAATCATGTTACCTTGCTTGACTCCAACAACACATTAATTATAAAAATCATTTGTCTCTACTCAAACCTACATATGCTCACAAAAGCCTGTTGGATGTTCAAGCCCATGGCACTCAAAACTTTTAAACCTTCCCTCCAACCATTCCTGTGTTAATCTCTACCCCATCTGCCTTCCTTCCCAGATTTATATATACCCTTGTAATCATCCTATTCTACTCCATCCTCTAAATACCTAAACCATCTCAACAACCCCTCCTCCACCTCTGAATTACATTTCTGGTATCTTCACACTCTTTCACTCTACTGCTTACTCCCTCCATAATATTCACACCACACATCACCATCAAACATTACATCTCTACTGCCTCCAGCCTCCTCCTCCACTATATTGTGTAAATTTTCTCAGGCCTTTTTTTTTTTTTTTTTTTTTTTTTTTTTTTTTTTTTTAACATGTCAGCTGTCTCCCACTGAGGCAGGGTGACCCAAAAAATAAACACCTTCACTATCATTGCCTTTGTAGAGGCACCCAGAGACGACAATCTAGATCTCACTCCAAACAGTCAATATCCCAAACCCCTACTTTAACCCTTTCAGAGTTTTCGACGTACTAGTACAGCTTACGCACCAGAGTTATTGACGTACTAGAATGCCTAAATTCTAGCTCCTTCACATCTAGCAAGAGAAAGCTGGTGGGCCTACATATGAAAGAATGGATCTATGTGGTCAGTGTGCGCAGTATAAAAAAAAATCCTGCAGCACACAGTGCATAATGAGAAAAAAAAAACTTTGACCGTGTTCTTGGATTAAAACAGCGACTTTGCACTGTATTTTCGTATGGTATTTATGGTTGTATTCCAGTTTTCCTGGTCTCATTTTATAAAATGGAAGACATATTACAGAAATTTAGATGATTTTGATTGGTTTCACAATGAAAAGTACCTTGAAATTGAGCTCAAAATAACAGAAATGTTTGATTTTTACCAAAGTTCAAAAGTAAACAAATCATGCCAAGCATCCAATACACATCAACTGGTGAGTCTAATATTCTTTCACAAGTGCGCTGATATTAGTTATACCATTTTTACACTAATGCAGTAGTCTGCATAACAGTAAATCTTCTGTTAGGTAAGACACATATGCAACAGTTAGGTATCTTTATTTCGAAACGTTTCGCCTACACAGTAGGCTTCTTCAGTCGAGTACAGAAAAGTTGATAGAAGCAGAAGATACTTGAAGACGATGTAATCAGTCCATCACCCTTAAAGTTTTGAGGTGGTCAGTCCCTCAGTCTGGAGAAGAGCATTGTTCCGTTGTCTGAAACAATATTGTTCCAGACAACGGAACAATGCTCTTCTCCAGACTGAGGGACTGACCACCTCAAAACTTTAAGGGTGATGGACTGATTACATCGTCTTCAAGTATCTTCTGCTTCTATCAACTTTTCTGTACTCGACTGAAGAAGCCTACTGTGTAGGCGAAACGTTTCGAAATAAAGATACCTAACTGTTGCATATGTGTCTTACCTAACAATCTGTCGGTATTTTATACCATTTTAATGTTCAGTAAATCTTCTATTTTTTGTAGGAATAAAAATTCAGTGGAAAGTAAAAGAAATATAAGAGGGGCCTGGGAACATGACTAACGAACAGAGAACTTGTTATTTTAGTGCCAGGAATGTCTGTCTTGTTTATTCTGGACCCTATTTGGAAATTGGCATCTTCTGAAATTTGTGTGAAATTGGCAGAATTGCCAATTTCTAACTTTATTGGATAGTTGAAATTTGTAAATGGGTGGTTTCTTGTACTCATTCGATAGAAAAAATGGAGTTCTAGCAAAATAAATATGATTTTTGTCGACTAGTACACAGCAATTGGCCAAAAATAGGGCTCAAAGTGGGCGAAAACGCCGATAGGTAAACATCGGCGAGACCGCTAAATTGCGAGAGCATAATTCCGTAAGTTTTCCATCAAATTTCATACTTTTGGTGTCATTATGATCGGGAAAAGATTCTCTATCATTTCATAAGAATTTTTTTTTTTTCCGAAAAATTTTCGACCCTGAGAACAAGTTCAGGAGAGGGCCTCTCGACGCTGAAAGGGTTAAAGTGCAGGCACTGTACTTCCCATCTCCAGAACTCAAGTCTGGCCAGCTGGTTTCCCTGAATCCCTTCATAGATGTTACCTTGCTCACACTCCAACAGCTCGTCAGGTCTCAAAAACCATTCGTTTCCGTTCACTCCTAACGTGCTCACACATGCATACTGCATGTTCAGGCCCACTGCACACAAAACCTCTTCTACTCCCTCCCTCCATCCTTTCCTATGACGACCCCTACCCCTCCTCCCATCCACTACAGATTTATACACCCTCCAAGTCATACTGTTTTGCTCCGTCCTCTCTAAATGACCAAACCACCTCAATAAACCCTCTTCAGCCTTCTGAATAATACTTTTTGTGAACTTCACACCCCCCCTCCTGAATTCTCTGCATAATATTTACACAACACATCGCCCTTAGACATGATGCATCCGCTGCCTCCAGCCTCCTCACTGCAGCATTCACAACCCAGGATTCACACCCATATAAGAGTGTTGGTACCATAATATTCTCATACATTCCATTCTTTGACTCCATGGATAACATTTTTTGTCTCCAGACACCTCAATGCACCACTCGCCTTTTCTCCATCAAATCTATGGTTAACCTCATCCTTCATAAACCCATCTGCTGACACATCTTCTCCCAAATATCTGAACACATTTACTTCTTCCATACGTCCTCCCTCCAATGTGATATCCAATTTTTCTTTACCTAATTCGTTTGATACCCTTGTCACCTTACTCATATCTATGTTCACTTTCAACTTTCATTCTTTACACACCCTCCCAAAATTGTCCACTAACTTCTACAATTTCTCTTTAGAATCTTCCAAAAATACAATATCATCAGCAAAAGTTAGTGTGTCAACTTTGTATTTGATTCCCGATTATTTAATCCCACCCCTCTCCCCAACACCCTAGCATTTACTACTTTTAAACACCATCTATACAGTGGACCCTCAACCAGCGATGGCATCGATTAACGATAAATCTGACTAGCGATACATTTTAATGCAAAAATTTTGCCTCAACTAGCGCTTAAAAACCCAACCAGCGCTATTCGTTCCGTACCATACGCGTCCACTTTGGCCTGAGCGCGCCTCACTTGTCCCTTGGTGCCAGTGTTTACAAGCCAGCCAGCCACTGCAGTCACTTCCAAACATACAACAACTGGAACATTTCATATTATCACAGCCTTTGTAGTGATTGCACCTGCAAAATAAGTCACCATGGGCCCCAAGAAAGCTTCTAGTGCCAACCCTACAGCAAAAAGGGTGAGAATTACTATGGAGATGAAAGAGATCATTGCTAAGTATGAAAGTGGAGTGCGTGTCTCTGAGCTGGTCAGGTTGTATAATAAACCCCAATCAACCATCGCTACTATTGTGGGTAAGAAAATGGCAATCAAGGAAGCTGTTCTTGATAAAGGTGCAGCTGCTGCTGCACCACAGTCAGCTGTTGTTGTTGCTGCACCACCATCAGCTGTATTACTCGAAGATGTGGAGAGAGTGTTGTTGGTGTGGCTTAACGTGAAACAATTACCGAGAAACAATTAACCCTGGAGGGTCAGGTTGTATAATAAACCCCAATCAACCATCGCTACTATTGTGGGTAAGAAAACAGCAATCAAGGAAGCATTTCTTGCCAAAGGTGCAGCTGCTGCTGCACCACAGTCAGCTGTTGTTGTTGCTGCACCACCATCAGCTGTATTACTCGAAGATGTGGAGAGTGTGTTGTTGGTGTGGCTTAACGTGAAACAATTACCGAGAAACGATTAACCCCGGAGGGTTAGCCACCCAGGATAACCCAAGAAAGTCAGTGCATCATCGAGGACTGTCTAATTTATTTCCACTGGGGGTCCTTAATCTTGTCCCCCAGGATGCAACCCACAACAGTTGACTAACACCCAGGTGAACAGGAAAAAATGCCTGGAACTAGTGCTCATATTGGTGAGGTTAGTGGGGAAGATGTGGAAGAGTTGGTGGAGGAGGACAATGACGAACTAACCACTGATGAGCTGCTAGAGCATCTTCAACAGTAACAGGCCACACCTGAGGAAACTGCTTCGGAGGAGGGGAGAGAGAAATTGAAGAAGTTGCCTAATTCAAAGATTAAGGAAATGCGTGCAATGTGGCTTAAAGTGCAAACCTTTTTTGATGAAAATTACCCTCACACAGCTATTGCAAGCCGTGCTGGTGACTATTACACTGACAATGTTGTGAAACACTTTAGGATAAAGGAACGAGAGGTACAGGCCTCTATGGACAGATATGTTGTGCGACAGAAGTCCAGTGACTCTGAAGCTGGTCCTAGTGGCATTAAAAGAACAAGGGAAGTAACCCCAGAAAAAGACTTACCACCTCAAGTGCTAATGGAAGGGGATTCCCCTTCTAAACACTAACAAGATCAACGGTCTCCCCTCCTCCCATCCCATCAATCATCACCAGATCTTCAATAAAGGTAAGTGTCATGTAACTGTGCATGTCTTCTTCAGTTTATGTGTATTAAAATTAATATTTCGTGTGGTAAAAATTTTTTTTTTCAATACTTTGGGGTGTCTTGCACGGATTAATTTGATTTCCATTATTTCTTATGGGGAAAATTAACTTGACTAACGATTATTTCGATTAACGATGAGCTCTCAGGAACGGATTAATATCGCTGGTTGAGGGTCCACCGTATATATTTTTTTTAACACATCAGCCATTCACCAATATGGTATGGTGGCCCAAAAAAGAAAAATTTTCATTATTCACTCCATCACTGTCTTGCCAGAGGTGCACTTACACTACAGTTACAAAACTGCAACATTAATCTATAACTTTTTTTTTTTTTTACCCTTTCAGGGTCCAAGGCCAAAATCTGAAGTGGTGCTCCAGTGTCCAAGAAATTTTGAAAAAAAAAAAAAAATTATTTTTTTCTTACAGAATTTAAGAGCATATTTTTGTGAAGGTAATAAGACAAAAAAAAAAATTCTGATCAGTACTTACCGAGATACAGTGCCAAGAAGTTTGTCAAAAATGATGTGGTGGCGGCAACATCGACGAATTCCACATACGCGCATTACATTATTTTGCGGTTTTTACATTTTTTTCTTTTCTTTTCCAATTTTTTTTCTATTCCTACTAACATTTGGGGCCTGAGAGACCAATACTGTATATAATGTATATATATAAACTCACTGTATTGAACACAATAACTGCACTAAAGTTATTATCATATTATTGTTTACCACTGTTGTTTATTACAATAAACATGCACAAATCTTGTATAATACTAATGTTCTATCATATATTTACAAATATTTACAATCACTGGACATGGTTTTAGAACTGCTGGAGCTTGTGGAACTCCTTGAAAACAAGGCACCATGCACAGAGGCACCTTACATTCCTCACACATAAACCGAGTGTCTTTGCGTCTTTGTTGCCGTCGTTTTGTTTGTGCACAGACAATGCATCTTCTGAGCAAATTTCTTCTGAGTTGAAGGAAGTTGTATTATGAAATGATCACCTTCCCTCCTCAAACGCTTGGGTATATCCTGAGTAATTCGAGGACCTTGTTGTATAGCAGGTGTTCTTACCTGGTACGTCATTATGAGTTGTCTGACAACAGACAAACAAAATTCACCATACGGTGTTCTGTTGCCAGTCTTTATTTGGTACATATTATATGCATTGAGCATTGAAATGTCCATGAGATGGAAGAAAAGTTTCATGTACCACTTGTAACTCTTACGAACACAGTCAACAAAACCAATCTGCATGTCACATTTGTCAACCAAGCGCATGTTTTGTGTATAATCAATCACTGTCACTGGTTTTCGAATACGTTCATTAGTCACTCGATCAACTTTGCCACTGTCTTGCATTTCATTACAGTGAATGGTTATCAACAATGTGACATCTCGTTTGTCATGCCACCGTAATGCCATGATGTCATTGGCAGTAAACACCTGCACGTCATCACCACGAGCACCTGCGTTGAGCCTGGGCATATGTTTACGATTAGAACGCACTGTGCCACACACATCTGTCTTGTTCACTCGCATGAAATCACTGAGTAATGGGCTTGTGTACCAGTTATCGGTATATAATGTATGCCCCTTACCAAGATAAGGTGCCATCATGTTTCTCACTACGTCACCTGAGATACCCAATAACATCTTGGTATCTTTCAATGTTTTACTACCCATGTATACAACAATATCCAACACCAGGCCACTGTCACAATCACAGAGTACAAACAGTTTTATACCAAAGCGTTTCCTCTTGTTCGGTATGTACTGCTTGAATGACAGTCTACCTTTGAACAAAATCAAAGACTCGTCAATTACAAGATTCTTGAATGGATAAAAGTATATGCTGAACTTTTGTTTAAGATACATGAAAACATTTCTAATCTTGTATAACCTGTCACTTCTGTCAGGCCTGGTTTTGTCAGAGAAGTGCAACATATGTAAGAGTAAGATAAACCTGTTCACTGGTATGATTTCACTGAGAACCGGGGTAGAAATTAGCAATCTGTGGACCAGTATGCTTTTATATTATGTTATACACATGAGGCATAAGCATTATTGTTGCAAAAAGCAAATACATTTCTGCAACAGTCGTCTCTTTCCACCTGTGTAGTCTTGACTGTGGTGATAAGATCGTATTTGCCATGGTGTACTCAAAATACTTATTACTTTCCCTGACAATAGTTTCCATCAATGGCTGGTCAAATAATAATTCAAAGAATTCCAGTTCATTGGCCGTGGTTCCAAGGGGACAAGTAGGTACAATTCCACTTTGAGAGGCTTGGGAACAAAATTGGGATTTTGCTGCCAATCCCACATACGGTTTGCTGGTGGATACTGGACATCATAGGCTGGTTGTGCGGGTGGTTGTGGTTGTGGTGGGCTGGTGGCTGACGCTCCGCTTTGTCCTTGAACTGACGAGTCAGCAGCGTGGGGTCCAGCGTGGGTGGCGAGTCACGCATGGCGGTGCCACTATCATCACCACTAACACCATCCACTGATGCCTGTGGTCTATCCATGCCAAGTGTAGCCACATCATCCTCACTATCACTACCTAAAACTGGTGTAGGGTCACGGGATGTACTCCGGGATGTACTCCGTCCCCTGGGCACAGCATAGGGTACACTACCCGAGCGCATGCGGCGGCGAACATACCGACGCTTCACTGGTGAATATGATTCCTCACTATCACTACTCGAATGATCGTCTAGTGCAATAAAATCACAATCCACGTCACTATCATCATCATTACTGAAGTCAGAGGCCTGGCCACGCGAAAATATTAGTTTTCTCTTGCGTTGAGGAACAACTGACCGTGAGTCACGAGTGCCCACACCAGAGGTAGAAGGTTGAGGATCGTCAGGGTTTTCTGCACTATTATCGATATCCTGGTCATTCTTTTCGGTCACTAACTGATCAAAGCCATAGAATTCGTCTTCATTTCCACTTCCATCAGTGTCAGAACTATCAGATAGGAAGAAGCGTGTCCCAATTTTCCGGGGAGCGAGAGCTGACTTGCGACGAGGCATGGCGAACAAGGGTAACTGAGCCGGCGTTCCCACAATGCTATGCGGGCGCCTAGATTTTTTGTTTATGGCGCACACCCACCACACAGACCCGTTCTCTCACATGTAGGCCTATGAGCGTTTTTGCGCTAAATTTGAAGGCGCTAGAATTTTGGCGTAGATCTATGGTTTGGACACTCAACGTGAAGCCGTAGATCTACGGGACGGACCCTGAAAGGGTTAAGCAAGTCGGCCGTCTCCCACCGAGGCAGGGTGACCCAAAAAGAAAGAAAATCCCCAAAAAGAAAATACTTTCATCATCATTCAACTCTTTCACCTCACTCACACAATCACTGTTTTTGCATAGGTGCTCAAAACACAACAGCTTAGAAGCATATAGGTATAAAAATACACAACATATCCCTCCAAACTGCCAATATCCCGAATCCCTCCTTTAGAGTGCAGGCATTGTACTTCCCATTTCCAGGACTCGAGTCCGGCTACATAAAAATAACCTGTAACTATAATCTATAACTATGTTAACTTATTCCCCTATAATTTTTACACACATTCTCTGCCAATCCCTATACCTTCTCCTCTTTCATACATTCATTGAACAAAAGTACCAACCACTCCAAAAACTATACATCCCCCTGCTTTTAATATTTCTGTCATGATCTCATCAATTCCAACTGCTTTACCCCCTTTCATTCTACCTAATGCTTCATGCACCTCCCCCACACTCGCATCCAGCTCCTCTTCACTCCTAAAAGATTTTATACCTCCCTGTCCAATGCATGAAATAACTGTCTTCTTCTCTTCATCAACATTTAACAGTTCCTCAAAATATTCCTGCCATCTTCCCAGTATCTCCAATTCCTCATCTACTAACTCCTCTATTCCATTATATATCTCTAGGAATCCAATATTTTCCCAATTTATCATGTGAAAACACATAAGGAAAACTGAAAACATCCTAGTATCTTAAGGCATCTTTCCTTCGGTGCCTAATAAAATCATATTTATTATACCGACATCACTAAAACTTTAGGCAAAAATACTTCTTTTTTCTGCTAATTTAAAAACCTTCTCTACTTACTTGTCTCTAATGGAATGGATGACATGCGTAGACCTGAAATTTTTCTGTTCTCTTTTAATATGCAGTGTAACGTCTGTCGTCGAATATCTGCAAGAAAACAAAACAATCGCCAAGTTGCCTTTGACTTCTATAAATAATCATGCCACTTTCCTTTTGCACACAAAGGAAGGTTGCCAAAACAAAATTGGCTACACATGTTGGCTACTAACTTCCTTCACCTACAAGGGTGAAAGCTCTCCCATTTCCTAAGAATTAGAACTGCAAGTCTACCCATCAGCATAAAAAAAAAAAGGACTAACATATTTTATTATATACCCTGTATATCATATCTAGGAAATGACTGAAAGCCAGAGCTCACCTCCCCAAACTCAAATAAGTAATTACAAAAAAATTGTTTAATGGTGAAAGGAGAAACATTCAGCAATGTTTTTTAAAAATGCTGCCAACTGGTTTTGCTAAAAATATCATAGTTGTAATAGTACTACTGGATTATCTTGCATGCATATACAATCAATTATATCAGTTCAAAATTTTTTAAAATGTTTTCTCTAGATTTTCCAAGATTTCACAATTCCTGTACATTTCAGCATAAAAACACAGCTTGTACGGTCCAATCCCCATAATTGTTTAACAGATATATTCACCATAAGGTTAACAGCAAACGAGATTAAAAAAAAAAAAAATTGCATAATACAGGGAAGAATGTTCCCACTCCCCATAATTTCATAATATATCGCACATTTTGTGTACTGTGAATACAAAAGCTTAATAATCTACAAAAATAACTGGCATAAATTGAGGTGGTTCAGACATGTAGAGAGAATGGAGCAAAACAGAATGACTTCGAGTGTATAAATCTGTAGTGGAAAGAAGGCAGGGTAGGGGTCGGCCTAGGACGGGATGGAGGGAGGGGGTAAAGGTGGTTTTGTGTGCGAGTGTCTTGGACTTCCAGCAAGCATGTGCGAGCGTATTTAATAGGAGTGAATGGAGACAAATGGTTTTTAATACTTGACGTGCTGTTGGAGTGTGAGCAAAGTAACATTTATGAAGGGAGTCAGGGAAACCAGCAGGCCAGACATGAGTCTTGGAGATGGGAAGTACAGTGTCTGCACTCTGAAGGAGGAGTGTTAATACTGCAGTTTTATAACTGTAGTGTAAAGCACCCCTCTGGCAAGGCAGTGATGGAGTGAATGATGATAAAAGTTTTTCTTTTTCGGGCCACCCTGCTTTGGTAGGAATCAGCCGATGTGTTAATAAAAAAAAATAAATAAAAAAATTGCTCCTCCATAAATGTATATTGCTCTATAAATAATCTTGTACTTGGGGAAGAAAATGTTGAAAAATATTAGTTTAATTACCCAAATTTGTGAGGGCCAAGAGTCACCAAGATCCCTGGAAATTCTGAGTTCCTGAGTACCACTAATCTCAGTCTGTGCAAATTTTAGATTTGTGCTCATTTTGGGTTTCTGAAGACATATATATTTAAATCCCAACTTAAAGGTTTTATTTTTATTTTTAGTAAACTATACAGAAAGGGGTTACTAGCCCATTACTCTCAGCATTTTAGTTTATTTTTACTACACGCATGGCTTACAGAGGAAAGATTATTATTACACTTCCCCATGGATATGAAAGGAAATAAGAACTGGAAGTATTAAGAAAAGAAAGCTCAGATGAGTGTGTACAAACGTGTACATTCATGTGTAGTGTGACTTAAGTGTAAGTAAAAGCAGGAGACATACCTCTGTTATCTTGTGGTTTATGGGACAGGAAAGACACCTGCATTCCTACCATCATGTAAAACAAATACAGGTTTTCATCTAACACTTATCTGGCAGGACAGTCATACCTACCTGGGTGGTTACTGTCTACCAACTTCTTATTATCAGACTGGAGGGAAGGAGTATGAAAGAAGCAAACATGTTCACATATTTGGGAGCAGACTTGTCGGCAGATGGGTTTATGAAGGATGAGGTAAACCATAGAATTCATGAAGGAAAAAATGTTGGTGGTGCAGTGAGGTATCTGCGGAGACAAAGAACATTATCCATGGACGCAAAGAAATGAATATACGAGAGTATAGTGGTACCAACACTCATACATGGGTGTGAAGCACGGGTTGTGAATGCTGCAGAAAGAAGGCGGCTAGAGGTAGTGATGTTGTGTCTAAGGGCAATGTGTGGTTTAAGTACGTATTACGCAGAGTATTCCTTCAGCACGCAGTGCATAATGAGAAGAAAAAAACTCCAACCTTTTTTTTTTAATTAAAATGCTGACTTTGTAGTCTATTCTGGTACAGTATTTATGGTTGCATTCTCGTTTTCTTGGTCTCATTTGATAGAATGGAAAACATACTCAACACCAGTAACTACAACACTAAAATGATGGACCTTTTGAGTGATCAGTCTACATACGAATCCATCAGCACTCAACAGTGAGACACTCACCAAAGATTTTCTATACAAAACCAGACAAATGCTCAAACGCACTAGAGAAGGGAAGAAACTTCTGTACTTGTTACCAAGCAACCCTAAACCAGCACACATGTATGGTTTACCTAAGACCCATAAACACAATATTCCTCTCAGATCAATCATGTCAGGTATAGGCAGTGCTCCACACAAACTAGCCGGAGTTCTTGCCAAACATCTTTCCTGCCTTCTGGGGACCATCAGCCTCGCTCATCTTAAACACTCAGGCGACCTTCTCAACCGCATCCGAAACCTCTCCATCTGTAACAAGAAACTAAGCAGTTTGGACATGACTTCCCTCTTCACAAAAGTACCTACCACAAAAGCCATCGAGGTTCTACGACGTAAAGTCAATCAGGACCTTAATCTTCCTCTACCTCCCGGAGATTTTGTCGACTTGATTGAACTCTGTTAATTTCAACTGTTTTTCTTTCAATAACAAGCTCTACAAACAAACCTATGGCATGGGAATGGGGTCCCCCATCAGTGCCGTCCTAGCCAACTTATACGTACATGGAACACCTAGAATCCGAACACTTCACCAACATCATCCCTTCAAGCGTCACTTGGTTACGTTAACGTGGACGACGTCCTCATAATAACTCCCAAACGTTTTGATGTACGCAATCTTCAGGCAAGGCTCAACGCAGTTGAACCGGCGATCCAGTTTACACTAGAAGAAGAGTCCAATGACAAGCTACCTTTCCTCGACGTCCTCATTCACAAAGTAGACAACAACCTACCAATAAAAATGATCTCGCACTTCTATTCCAATCAAGATACCAAGGCCAAAAGAGGCATCATCATCGGGTTTTTTCTAAGAGCATACCGAATTTGTAGTCCCGAGTTTCTTGACGAGGAATGTACATACATTCACTAAACCTTCACCGAGTTACATTTTCCTTCCTTTTTCATCAAAGACTGCAAGAAAAGAGCTCTTCAGATCATTAATTCTCCACGCACCAACACCACTCCCAACAAAGTTATAATTCTTCCCAACAGCCAGGTTGCACTGAACGTTTCTAAAGTACTTTCACAAGCTAACACCAGAGTCGCCATCGCTTCTAGCACTTCAATAAAGGATCTAACCAGGACAAAATCAAAGCACCACGAACCAGTCACTGCAGGGGTTTACACTATACCCTGTGGAGGCTGTGACAAGATTTATGTAGGTGAAACAGCAAGAAACCTCGACACCCGCCTCAATGAACACATTTACGCATGTAGGAACGATAACTTGAACAACGCCTGTGTACAACACCGAAATTTCACCAATCATCTGTGAAATTCAGGGACGCCCAATTAGTGATCAAAGAAACTAATTTCCGCAGAAGCAAGTGCCTCGAATCAGCACTGATCACTGTTTCGAATACAATTAAACAAAACAACGGCAGCTTCACCATCCTCCTGAAAACAGCAAACCCTGCCATCACATAGTCTCTCCTGTTAATACTACACAAAGCACATTACAGAGTGATCACTGAAACAGGCCTTCTCTATCCAGTCTATATTTGTCTAACCTATTTTTATGTTACCGAAGTAATAGCTTTTATATCCTTTTACTCATTATGAATTAATTGCTCTACCATATTGTATTACTACTACTACAACTTTTGTCACTACTACTACTACCACTAGTATTGCACCTCACTCTGAGCCTTTATATACCCTCAGTGTCCATATACTGTTTGTATCGGCTTGACTAAGCTCCTGGAGAGCGAAATGTTGCCACAATAAAATGTCACATTAGTTGCACTTGTGTCCTTTTACTTTACAAAATGAGATCAGGAAAACTAGAATACAGCAATAAATACGATACGAAAATACAGTGCAAAGTCGCTGTTTTAATCCAAAAACACGGTCAAAGTTTTTTTTTTCTCATTACGCAGTGTGCTGCAGGATTTTTTTATACTGCGCACACTGACCACCCATTCTTTCTTATGTAGGCCTACCAGCTTTCTCTCATTAGATTTGAGGGAGCTAGAATTTAGGCGTACTAGTACGTCAAAAGCCCTGGGGCCTAAGCCGTACTAGTACGGCCGAAACCCTGAAAGGGTTAAGAAGATTTAGCTGACCATGGCAAGTTGTCTTTAACAAAGAAATGCGAGGTCTCCACGTCAGCCAGCGATCAAAGACCAGGCCCAGAAACCTGACCGTATCACATGCCGGAATATGTGAACCATGCAAGTACAAGGGAGTATCCGGTATAAGCAGGCGTCTAGTGAAGGTAATGAATTGGGTTTTCATACTGGTAAATTTAAAGCCATGAAAAGTGGTCCAATGGGAGACTATCACAACCTGAAGGGAGGCTGCTACTAATCAACAGTCAGCACCCGAGTAAGCTATAGCGAAGTCATCAACATAAAATGATGACCAAATATGCGAAGGAAGAATGGAAGAGTAGTACTGAGGACACAACCTTGTGGGACTCCTTTGGCTTGTACAAAGTCCGAGGAAAGCGAGGCGCCAATACAGACCCAAAAATGTCCATCGGACAAGAATGCAGCAATGAAGTTTGTCAGATTACCGCGGAGGTCTATGGAGTGGGATTGGGTTTGAATGTTATACCTCCAAGTAGTGTCATATGCCTTCTCTAGATCATAGACCTCTAGGACA